GTATCAGTATTCTTTACTTTCATTATCCTGCTAGTCATTTTTCTTACAGGCAATTTACCTGATATCAACAGGTGACAATTTATATTAATATATACCTGCGATTTACTTAAACATTATCACTATCTTTATTATTATATATAATATTGGGTAAATGATCTATAAAAGAAATGATTATCAGACTACCTTAAATTTGTATACTAATTTTGTTTATAGATACTATTAGCAAATCATATTAAGAAAGGGTACTACATTCATCGAATTAAAGAAGGTCTCTGGAGTACTTTTGGCATTAGTAAGGTAAAACCGTTTAACGAACATGATACTAAAGAACAAATGAAAAGGTAAAAAGAGGACTTCAAGAAAGTTTATGAAGAATTATACTATCCAAGCAATCAAAATGACCCAAATTCAAATACTTTTCTTGCTTTAATCATCAAATATGCTTTTATATCTGAAGATGAACGTACCCATGCTAATGCTATTTGGATACAGGCTATTCTTGAACTTATTTTTAATGAAAATTATCTTTAGACGAAACTTGCCTCTGACATTGTTGATATATAGTACCAAAAACTTTTAAAGGAAGCAAATGATACGGTATATTTGTTTTAATTGTTTTTTTTATGTTTATTTTATTTTAATATTTTTTTTTTAGAATAAAAAAGATGCTTGCGCCTCTTCTGCAAACTTACAAGTTGGATCTTTAGATTCGATAGATGTTAATGATCTTTATGAAAACTTGCCTGACTCCAACTCTGAAAGCCATTTAAGTGATAATGGCATTGAAGACAATGATAATGATGATAATTATGATCCTGGTCCTTAAAAAAAACAATGATAGTACATTTTTTCAAAGTTGTTAATTAACAAATAGCTTCTTTAAAGGCTAATATTATTTTATTTAAAATATTATACTAATTTTCTATAATTTATTATATATTTTAAAAGCTTTTTCTTTGAAATACGAATATAAATACGGAGAAGTCTTTTGCGCAAAAAATTGATAGTGATTGTAATAAAATGCTTTTAGTTTTTTTCTTATTAGCTAGCAATATTGAGCTTATTACATTCTTATTAGCTAGCAATATTGTGCTTATTACATGCTTTTAACAATATTAGCAAATAAATATATTAGTTTTTCAATTAATAAGTTGTCAAAGTTTTTTAATATATAATTTTAAGTTTTTAAATAGTGTTAGTTAACTATATTTTGTTGTT